TTTGATATAGACCTGGACTGTCATCCGAGCTGTATCTTTCAGAGTTTCACATTGGCTTCTGCAGCAGTAAGCAGCGTGCTCCGTGCCACTGAGAGTCGAAAACTTCAATTTTTAAAAGTTAAATTACATCATCTTCACAATAAGTTTCTTAGTGGGAACTGAAATAATGTTAAAAGGTGTTTCTGTGCAAAAATAGTAATTTGTGACATTCTCACTCATTTATGCTCTAAATTAAAGGAAACAGTCCTTTTCAGATATTTTGGGTAGTATGCGGTGGAACAGATAACAAAGATGGGGTGCAGGTGAGCAAGGCAAAAGTTGGGCTAAAGAGAAGTTACTGGCTAACATGGAGTGCGGTTTAGTTGTGAAGTGGGATCTTGGGTGCAGTCTTATTAATTTAAAGGCTATAAACTAGATAAGATAGTTTCCTATGGGAAACAATCCTGACCTGATAAGGAAGTGGGCAAGACCATCTCTGTTTCTGACAAAATCTCTTTCTTTGCTCATATCCCCAGTTCTACAATTTAAATCCTTTAGGATTTTTTTTGAGGAAGGCAGATTTCTCTTTCCATGTATTTCCATCTCTTTGATCTGTGAAACAGGGCCAACTATTATGCACTGATTATGTGAAGCATGCATATTTTAATGAACAAAATTTCGTATTTTTTTCCACAAGTTCTGTGGAAAAATATAATTTTCAGCAAGGTAGATCTCTGGCATTAGTGAATTCCATCACTTTGTTAGGCACAAAATCTTTTTAGGGGCTTTTATCTCTAAGGTCTTACAGAGATTGAGCCAACTGACATTCAGTTTTGAGCTTCCTAACCACGATCATTCAGAAAATTGTCATGGACCATAGGTGAAAATGTCCTTAAAACACTGGATAAATGTATTTACTATGGGTAATACTTTAATATTCTTGTACATGTCTTGTAGTTATAGCAGGTCTTCTTGTTCACTTTACTGTTTGAGAGCCAATTTTTCTGTTAGAAACATTTATAATTATTTTCCCTCAATTGTTCTAGCTATGTTACAATCATGTCATATAATGACCTTTAAAAACGTGTCTAGAAAAGCCTGCAGCTGTTCCCTCCTTGGTTTCTCTCTACTGAGTTATATTTAAGCCAGTGTCTCTGAAAACAGGCAGTAATAAAAGGGATATTATCCTTAGCAAATATCTTAATCACGGTAAATCTCTGTTGCCCTACAAATGACTGCATGGGGGATTTGAGTTGAGTAAGCCATTTGCTGAATATCACTGCCACCTTTCCTAGGCCATTTAAGTGTGTTTAATTTTTCAGGGTGAAACGTGAAACCCACTAATACAAATGTTTGCATTTGGACTGAATTATATCCAGACTGTAACAGTTATAGCGGGCTTAGGACCAGATTGTGACTGATCTCTAGGAGGCCAGTTCTTCTTGGGAGAGTGAGGGAGAAAAACGCAGATTCATTCCCAGTCACAGCTTTCTTATGTCACTTAGGCTGCCTTGGTTCTTTTCAAAGTTTATATAAGGTTATTATGGGTGGAAGTACCAGTAAATATATGGACGATGCTTAGGTCTGTATTTTCTTTGTATCAATCACAGTCCTTACCATCGCCCAAGGCCTGGGAGCCATCAGTGTCTAGATGAAAGACAGCTGGCTTTGGTTCATCCTGGCTAGGATGGAGGTGGCAATGTTATGAAGCAGAAAATACTTTCAGGGACTTCTGTCCTCTGTAGTATCACTTTCTGTCTGTTTGTTTATCCAAATTTCTGTCTGATTGCCCAGAAACACTGAGAGTATCTGCTCTCCAGTGACCAAGCTTAAAGGAACCTTTTGGGAGTCTGATATACTACTGAGTACTTCATGCTTTCATTTTTCTCCCTTGTCCCTCCCTCCCTCCCTCCCTTCCTTCTGAAGGGACAGTTCCCATAGGTGTTTCCTGGGGCAGAACTGAGTGACTGTGAGGAGGCGGCATCTGTTTCAGGTGGCACAGCCCTCTTACTGCACACTGCAGTGTGCCAGGAGCACATCACCCCTAAACCACACTGGTTTCCAAGGAGTGTGCACTCAGATTCACCTCCCTGCTCGAATATCTTGAGCCATCCATCAGGCAGCTTCCCATGTAAGTCCAGAACACAACTTCTCTGAGCAGCTACAAGGGTAAGAGCTGCGAATGTGAGAGGCAGAGCTTTGTTGTCGACTGTTTTGTGACTGCTGGGCTGACTTTCAGCAGGGATGTGAACCTCTGTGCATCTCAGTGTCTTCTGAGCTAAATGCAATACTCGGTGTGTTTAAATGTCAGTCAAGTATCCAAATGGCAAGCCCTGACTTTGAACAGACAACAGAATTTAATAAATATACTAAGGGCCTTAAATGGGTCCTCAGGATGTGGTTAAGCAATCAGTTATACTTGTTAATTGGGAGATGTAGCTAATAATAACCAAATCAGAAGAGGAAATTGAGTTAATGCCTTGTAAGAAATAAGAACTTCACAGAGGACCCTGGCACTTGCTCATTAGAGACTTCAAAATTGATCTTTTTATGAAGTTAATCGACTATTTCATATTTCAACCACTTCAGCCAGTCACAAGTGCTATCCCTTTCCATGATATTGGTTTAACATTAACTATGTATAGCTTGTCCTCTTGCAGAGTTTTGTGCCTTTATGCTTTTATCTTGAATTCATGGTTGGTATTTTTCCTTAGGAAAAGGAAAATCTATTAAGTCTATATAGTTACATTATACTCTCTTAAGTTTTACACTCGATTGCCAAATTAAAGCTTTGATCCCATTTCTCTTACAGAAGAAACAAAAAATTATATGGGAGAGCATTACAGGTGAAGATGATAACCTTTAGTGAGTTCAGTGTGTTACTCCGATGTTGATTGCTGATGAAATACCTACACAGATTGAACGATGACTGATTCTTCACAGTTGTATGAGTTTCTTCTCTCCCTACATACTTTTTCTGTCACTGTTTTACACACTCAACTGGTCATGGGTTTATCCCTGTAGGTATTGCTGAAGGATGTGTGTTCTTCACATAAACTCTCCAGTGAATGCATTAGCTCTTCATTCTGTCTTCATCTACAGGGATGGATGAGAAAGTGTTTTCCCATTCAATAAGTACTTTAGAGGTTTGAAAGTTTCCCTGCAGTGGGATGAAAACTAGGATCTTTCAGGGATTTTTGTAAAAGGCTGCAGAGGGAGAAGGAAGATTATGTACCAGAACAGTGTTTACCATTAAGATTCCCACCCGGACTGTGAGGGTTTGGACCAGGGTTTTCACATTGCGGGTGGATGCTCCGATCACCAGGTGACAGGTTATTTTGAGGAGGCTATTTTTTGGCTTAGAGTAGGAATTTCCAAGTTAAGCATGAAGAGTCATTCCCAGACATTTCTTTTAAATCAGCATGTACCTGTTTTGGTACAATACATGTTTTCTCCATGCAGTTTCTTCTGAAAAAAAGTAGTGTAATGTAGAAATTAACCCTGCTTTGAGCAAGGGTTAAATCAGGTGACCTCCTGAGGAGTCTTCCAACCTGAATTCTTCTATGATTCAACTTCATTGGAAATTTCCTCTCCATCTCTAAAAAGGAAAAATGATTCTTGGACCTACAGTTAAAATACAGTAAAAAATGTCACATTAAGTGCTAGCTGCCATTGTGTAAAGACTTAATTAAACCATAAAGTAATTATTGGCTAGTATTCTCAGTCACTGAGTAGTTTGATACATATGGACTTTGTGTACGTTCTTGTCTATATGTGTGTGTGATATAAGGTATAGAGAAGCAGTGACAGGGAGAGACAGAAGTCATGCCCATGCCAGTAAATGATACAGGGCAGGGGAAGCCCCAGGCACTGGCTGATGATTATGCACCCAGTTTGGTGGTTTGTGTACTCGATGGCACAATTTTGGCCTAGTACAACTAGAAGCATTTCAGATGAAGTGACCAATCATGCTTGAGAGGTTACCATGGGTCAGGAACTCTTCCCATTAAGAAATCTGGATGCTGTTGTGGCTACATTTCTAATGGTAAACAACATAATCAAACGGAAGGTGACTCTACAGAGGCTGAGGAGGTTGAGGCTATATCCCTGGCTGTGCCCTGGGTTGGTTGGGGTGACCGTAGAGATGCCACTTCAGTTTTCTTACTCTCTTTCTTTCATGCTTGCAGTTGTCTAGCCATAAAGTCTCAGCTCTTCAAAATAGTGTTTGTCATCTGGGATGCGTTGGCAGAGAGACATGGGGATGGCCTGTTCTAGGTTGGGACCTCTAGGGGTTCCCATAATACAAACAATAATAGTAAAGAGAAGGGAATGACATGTGATTTCTTATGAAATAATTGCCCAGTCTCCTTGACAGATATAAACTGAGCGACTGTTCTGTGTGCACCAGCCTTACAAAAGCAAGAGTGTATTTTGCATTCTTGGACTGACCATTTCAAGGAGGATTTGGGGAGCAGATTTGCATATCTGCATTTGCAACAGGCAAGCGCAGCTTCCATCATTAAAACATTTAGTATAGCTCCTATTAAATCTGCTAAGGGAGAGCTGCTGCAAAAAAAGCCATTCAGCATAATTATGTCTGCATTTGAACCGCTGTGATGTAGAATAAATGCTTGTCACAGAAAGGGCTGATCCATGGATGAGAAAGGTTCCTAAAGATGGGCTTTTACCTTCCCCTGTTGTAGGCTTCTAATATCACCATGTGGAAATCACTCAATCACCATGCCTCACTTATTTGTCTGCAAAATGAAATTATTGGCTCTTTACTGGGACTAACACATGCTAGATTAATATATGTTCATTAAATGTGCTGCACAATGCAAATGATCACTGCTACTCTAGCAAATGCAGTTATGAAGCTGAGACTGTGCTGGCAGCTGATGTGCACCTCTGGGCACTGCTGCCTCTGACGGGCTCACACCATGGGGACGTGAGAAGGGTCCATTCATACTGGGTGACTACCTCATGATCGGTTGAGTAATTAAATGTTTGTTTCCTTCTAGATGAGTACAAGAGTAAAGTAGCCTGTGAAGACGACAAGCTGAGGCTAAGCTGTAAGAAGAGCATGGTGATAGCCATTTACTCTGCTGTCTTTGGAAGGACACAAGGAGGCAGTCTGGAGTGCCCGTACCAAACCCTAGGGATGCCCATGATTGGTAAGCAGGGGAAGGACTTGACGGAGCACACTGATCTGAGCAGGTTGATTTCATTTACTGCCACCACAGTAGAGCTGGCACAGACCCTGATTAGGAAAAGCAGGACTGGGACATGCAACCTGCCACCGTGGTGCTCCTGATGTATGGTACCTTGTTAACCAGTGGTTAACCTAGCCACGTTACCAATCTGTCTTTCAGCAGATTCATCAAATTATATTCTTGAAGGTATTCCTTGAATTTCTTGTTCAATTACTGTCCTCCTGGTGGTTCATACAGCGAGCCTCTATCTGTAGTATGAAGGAGCATATTATTGGTGGATGTCATGAACCACCTGTGTTAGTCAAGTCTTGACATTGCATTTAAATTTTTGCTGAAGTTAAAGCAAGGGGTGAAAATTCAGAAAGCAAGTTGGTAAGCTGCATCATGCTAAAGTTGACTAACAATACCTTCAAGTAGCCTCTTTACTCTCAGGCTATCATAGTCTCTTACATCCATGTGTTAAAGATCAATACATTTCAAAACATTCACTAGAACTGTCTATTCTTGAGCTAATGTGAAATGACTTTTAATACTTTAGGCTGTGGCAGAGAGAGCAGTTGTCTGCAGTGCAAAATCCTGTGGTCAGCATTCCTCATCATCCTTCTTTGCAGAGGTGAAAGGGAATTAATTAGTTTCCCAAAGGATTTGCCTCCAGAGGAGAAAAGGCTTCGGAGGGTGCTGCACAGGGAAGCTTGAGCTGCTGCCATTGTCTGTGCTAGTATCTGTTCAGCTGTGTCTGGGGATCTTTGGCTTCTCAGCTGCTGATCCAGTGCCCTTAAGGAGTTAAATGCTATTCAGATGGAAGTATGTCAAGTGACTGCTTGGAAATACCATACACAGATGATGGATGTCAGTAGGAAACCACAGGTGGAATCAGGCTAGTCAGGTTGGTTGTGCAGCGTGGTGAGTGCCTCAGTTGTGAAAATCTGAGAACTTGCGGCACAGCTGAGTAGTTCAGGGTCTCCTATCCAGTCCCATGGTTCAGATGCATGGCAGGAGAGTCACTGTCCTTTAACAAGTTATCTCCTGTCTCCTGGGGTGACCTGTGCCCCTGGATGGGCTGCTGTTGTCCCCCAGTTGTCAAGGAGCAGAAGCCAAAACAGATCTGTTTATCAGGTTAGCCTAGACCTCTTTCATGTGGTGTTTGGGATGGGCTAAGAGTGTGCATGCTGGTGCTGTGGTGGGTCGGCTGCTGGGTGAAAACTTGCCGAGTCAGCAAAACTCAATGGGTTTTTAGCATATGCCTGAGCACACTGCTCCTTTGTCCTTGCTGAGAGGGCAGAAACAGGCACGTACTACTGACAAGGTGCCAGCACTCGGACCTGCTTTTGAATGTCAGTTTGAAGCAGAACTATGTGAAGCCACAAAGGATAAAGCTTTATTCTTTGCCCAGATGCAAAGTCCCAAAACTTGTAGTGGCCGAGAGCACACATTATGTGGCACTGAAAAATGGGACAGGAGGCAGTGGAGCTGGGAGGGCAAAGCCGCATCTCAGAGAACAAGCATTGAGGTGTGACTGCAGGGCTGTGCGTGCCGTATCATCTGTAGTGCTTGTATGTCCTGTTGTTTTCAAACTGGCCTTGTGATGTCTACAAATTGGGATGTTTGCCCAAGGAAATAAGGTATCGGGTCCTAGACTGTAGCATGCAGCCTAGTGGGACAAGTCAGGGCCTTCTGCCAGCGTCAGATCTTAAAGGAAACGAGTGACAAGAGCAGGACAGGAGAGTTGTGCCAAGCTAGTAGTGGGAATGCTGATGTAGCTTTACAGTGAAATCCAGCACAAGGTTTTAAGCTGTGAACTGATGCTAAAAGTGACTGAGCTGTTGTACAGGAGCAAATATCTGCATGTTTGGAGTTGCTGGGGTCTGAAGTATCTGTTAAGTCAGTCTGGTGCTGCTGGGGGTAGATATGTCCTGCTTGCGTGGCAGCAAAGAGGATGGGAAGTGTCTGTGGGACAGTGGCTGGCTGCATGCTCTGCAGGGCTGGGTGTGAGAGAGGAGGCACTCACCATGGGGCAATGCCTTCCCTAGGTTTTCCTAGGCATTTGGGCACTGCATGTGTAGGGTGAAAGACAGATGATATAGCTGTTGATGCTGATGTTTCTCTGTGTGCTGAAATCCCCAATGGAGTGGGTGTGTGTGAGCTTAACTAGATATTAGGAAGAAATTCTTTACAGTGAGGGTGGTGAGACACTGGCACAGGTTGCTCAGGGAAGCTGTGGATGTCCCTTCCTTGGAAGTGCTCAAGGCCAGGTTGGATGGGGCTTTGGGCAACCTGAGCTGGTGGGAGGTGTCCCTGCCCATGGCAAGGGTTGGACTGGATGAGCTTTAAGGTCCCTTCCAACCCAAATCATTCTTTGAGTCTATGATTCTATGATTAACTAAAAAAAAACATGAACGAGCAGGTGGTCTTTCAACTCATCATGTTCCATCCCTGAAATTCCAGCTATATTGGCAAGCTGGAGCATAGCAAGTTCAATCTGAATATGAGGAAAAACTTTTTTACTGCAAGGGTGACAGAGCACTGGCCCAGGCTGCCCAGAGAGGTTGTGGAGTCTCCTTCTCTGGAGTCATTCAAAACCCGCCTGGACGCGTTCCTGTGTGACCTGGTCTGGGTGATCCTGCTCTGGCAGGGGGGTTGGACTGGATGATCTTTTGAGGTCCCTTTCAACTCCTAATATCCTGTGATTCTGTGATTCTGTGATTGGAGAGTGTTTGTCCAGGTCTGCCAGTGTGTTCAGCAACAGCTCGCTAATCCCTGGCATGATGCTGCCGATGCTGCAGGCAGCCTCTGCTTACTGTGAGCTTCCCTTCATCTGTTCTGTGTGAGCTGACCCAACGGGACAGAGCTCTGGCGATGCAGGGAAGGGGAGGGGGCCTGCCATTATCACTCCTCTCTTGGCCCCACAGGAGAAACCGGTGTAGGATCCACCTGCAACCCAAATCAGCAAAAAGCACATTCACACCATGCTTCCCCACAGCCCACTGCAAGAAATAACAGTCCTGCACACATTTAGAGCAATTAAGTGAGGAGGTTGTGCTCCCAGCTGCCACGGGCAATCGTGAGAGCAGCACGCAGAGTCCCCAACCTGCTCCAGAAACCGTACTCCTGCCATGGGCCTGCCTGGCCCAGCAGGCAGCTCTCTTCCTTCAGGAGCAGGTGAAAACATCACGGCTTATAAATCAAAGCTTTCTCCAGCTAGAGAACATTTCCCTGCACATTTCCACAGCCCTGCGATATTGGGAGGGCTGCTCTGTGACAGCCTTTGATCCCAGACATTTGCAATGAGCTGATTTTACAAATATGACCATATGACTCAGACTTTGCGGCAGCATCCAGTTCCCGTAAGGCAGAACCCAGCTATGTTCTGCACATGGAAGATTTACTCTGTTTGAATTTCAGGAGACTGATGATTTGTGTCAAGTCTGAGCCTTGGCAAGGGGCCTTTTCCTGGGAAGTTGTCTTGGACAAGTTTGCAGAGATTGTTTTTATCCAGGCAGCATGAGTTACTCGATGAGTGAAGAACTCATACTTGCCCCAAAGGTGGGGAAGGGTATCTTTTCCTCCTCTCCTATTGAAAAGCAGTTCAGAAAAAATTATTCCATTTTTCCTGTAAACAAAATGCCCATTTGGGTTAAACTGAGAAATCTGCAGCTTCTACAGATGAGGCTTTTAGAGAACTGAGGTCTTAAAATGAGAAGGAGGGGTGGCCTAATAGAGCATTGTATATGTTTCTGACTCTGGCATAAGGTAAGTTAACAAATAATTTAATTTGTGTTGTTTCTGCCTTGAAAAGCAAGACCTTGTAGGAGTGTTGAAGAGATAAAGTCCACTAATGGTGAGTTTCTTGGATCCTGCAGAGACATGAAGTATGTTAGGTGCTCAGTTGGAGGGATCTGAGGTATCTTGACATTGCAGCCTTTTAACACCTGCATAACCCAGCCATCGTTGTGCTGCTTTTGGGTGATACAAGATCCTCAAGTTGGACTTCACACACAATGTCATGCCAGATGCATGATTTCTCTCCATCTAACATCCATATGAATGTGCTTAGCATCTGTGAAGGAAAAGCTATTGTCAAGAGCTCCATCCTATCCCTGTCATGTTAAAGAAAATAATCTGCCAGGATCCTCTTTTAACTGAAAACATGCTGAAACTTGTGTCTCTGACCCTAATGGGAAACCCCTGCAAACAGCTGGAGCCCTCCTTGAATGCCTTGGGAACTCTGAAAAGCTCCTAAAAGAATTTGACCTTATTTGTAACTCTCTTAATAAAGCCTCCACTTTGCTGCCAGCATGTGCAGAGAGAATACACAGAGCATCGAGAGGTCTCTGGGGAAAGGGTTATTTGCAAGCAACAAACCATTAATATCCCTCAGCCCAGGGAGCCCTTTGCCCCTTTGTCGTGCTGTTTGCAGCTGCCTCTGCCTGCATCTCCGAGTGACTTCTTTATACCACGAGAAGCCAATTTTAAAAAATGGCCTTTTCCTACTTGTATCTGAGGGCAAGGTAATGATCTAAATGGGAGACTGAGGAGGAAGAACTTGGATGTAAAACAATTACCCTTTTTATCATTTAGTGAAGCGATATCCTTGATCATATTCAGAGCACCTGACATGGTCACATATACATTTTCATGGTAGCTTCTCCCCTGAAACACGGAGAGTGAGATGGACATGTTCAGCTGACCTCTAACATCAGGATCCAGGTCTCCTTCTCAAGGACCACGTCTCTCTTCATCATGTATACAAAGGGCCCACAGCAATTTAGCTCCTCATCCTGGGTAGAAGCATTTTTGGGCTTGGTTTTGGAGGTGGTGCAAGATTGTGGGAACTCTGGCTCCAAAGCTTAGCTGTGGGTCATGATGTGTGGGTGAAGCTGAGGAGTCTGCTGAGAAGTGAGATGTCCTTGTCACTTAACAGACAAATTCTCTCCTGTGCCTCTGCAGGGGGAAAATGGATG